TTTTTTTTTTTTTGAGACGGAGTCTCGCTCTGTCGCCCAGGCTGGAAGTGCAGTGGCCAGATCTCAGCTCACTGCAAGCTCCGCCTCCCAGGTTTACACCATTCTCCTGCCTCAGCCTCCCGAGTAGCCAGGACTACAGGCACCCACCACCGCGCCCGGCTAGTTTTTCGTATTTTTTAGTAGAGACAGGGTTTCACCATGTTAGCCAGGATAGTCTCGATCTCCTGACCTCGTGATCTGCCCATCTTGGCCTCCCAAAGTGCAGGGATTACAGGCTTGAGCCACTGCGCCCGGCCGGCATGTACTATTTTTTAAATAAACATGGAAAAATCATATAAAATAAAACTTAGCAAAAAATGGAAACCCTCTAAATCTAAGCTAAGTAGTAATCTGAATTAAAATAATAAACATACACTAGAAAACTATATTATAGGCGATACAGACTAAAATAGATCTTCTATATAATTTCTTATAAACTAGATAATTTTATAGCACAGGGAAAACATAAGCAACATAAAGTAACTCAAATACTCAATACTCAAATAATCAAAGTGGTTATGAAAAACATTATAAATATTCATACATATATTAAGTACCTTTGTAGCATGCAAGTGTAAGAGCACTTTCTTTGAATTCATTAGAATGAGTGTTGATGCCTGCACCATGATCTAAAAGAACTCTTGCAACTTCCACATGACCTGCACTGGCTGCTTCCATTAAGGGAGTATGTCCATTTTCATTATGATCTTCTATATTTGCACCTTCATTAAGGAGCACTTTAACAATGTCAACAAATCCTCCAGCACAGGCATAAGTTAGTGCGGTGTTTCCTAAAAAGAAGAAAAAGAAATATAATACATGAGGAGAATACATATTTAAAAAATAAAAATAAATAAAAGATTTTAAAAAACATAATAAAAAGAAATATAAAATCATGACAGAAGAGATACAATTACGATTATGCTAATGCTCTACATATACCTCTTCAATTCCCTTACACAAATCACTACAACTACTATCTCAACTTTTTTTCATTATCATTGGTTAGAAGCATCACTTTAATTTTTTTTTTTTTTTTTTGAGATAGAGTCTCATTCTGTTGCCCAGGCTGGAGTGCAATGGCACGATCTTGGCTCTCTGCAACCTCCGCTTCCCAGCTTCAAGTGATTCTCCTGTCTCAGCCTCCCAAGTAGCTGGGATTACAGGTGCCCACCACCATGCCCCACTAATTTTTATATTTTTAGTAGAGATAGGGTTTCACCATGTTGGCAGGCTGGTCTCAAATTCCTGACATCAGGCAATCCACCTGCCTCGGCCTCCCAAAGTGCTGGGATTACAGGCATAATCTGCCAATTATGCCAATTACACTGTGCCCGGCCAATTTTCTTACTAATTAAATGATTTTCTGGCCAGGTACAATGGCTCACACCTGTAATCCCAACACTTTGGGAGGCCAAGGCGGAAGGATTGCTTGAACCCAGGGAGTCTGAGACCAGCCTGAGCAACACAGTATCTCTACTAAAAAAAACTGAGCCAGGCATGGTGGCATACCCCTGTAGTCCCTGCTACTCTAGAGGCAGGTGGTGGGAGGATCACTTGAGCCCAATACAAAGACTTTCCGGAAAGCCCAGTACAAAAGACTATATATTATAAAGATCTGGACAATATAAAATATCCAGAAAAGTAAATCTATAGAGACAGAAAGTAGATTAATAGTTGTCTGAATAATTGAGGTGACTCCAAATGGCCATAGAGATCTTTCTGTGGTGATGGGAATATTCTACAATTAGATTGTACTGATGATTGTACAACTATAAATTTACTAAAAATCATTATTGTATACTTAAATCAAGTGAATTTTATGCTATATGAATTATATCTCAAAAAACTGGAATTTTTTGTTTTTTAAAAAAGCATCAGCAGCTACATTTGGACTGGGCCTCAAAAGTTAAGTAGGATTCCTAAAGGCAGAAAGGACATCTGGCATCAAACAAAATGCATTAAGTAAAAGCAGGTGACTAGAAGAGTGACCACATCCCCTCAGAGAGCTGCAATACAGAGCTATGGTTTATCACCCCTGGTCTCTCCTGAGACTGACTGCTTTGCAGTACAGAAGGAAGACTCCTGAGAACCTGTATTTTTAACCAGCTCTCTTAAGCGATTCTGACATGCAGGCAGTAGGTGCAACCTACTGAAACAAAATGAATGAACTAATTAAAATATGTTCATTGACTAGAAATTATTGGTGAGAAGATGATGCAATTTCCTTCCGGAAATTTCTATTTTCCCAATGAAGTATGAAGTATGAGTTAAGGCAATCAGTGGAAGTGAGGAGGGATATGTGTGGGATTTGAGAAGAATGTCTTAAATGGCCACATGGAGAGTGTACGGAGCAGCCCATCAAAGAACATGTGCTTACTGCATTGTATATAATAATCCCTTCCTTCTACATAGTGTATCTATTTCACCTAAGAAAAAAAAAAAAAAAAAGACAGGGGGACTTCATCTCAGTCAAGCCCTTTTCTCTCTCAAAATGTTCACCTACTTTTTAAAAATAAAGGTACTGATAACAATATGGTGGTTTTCAAAATGTCTTCCAAAGAACTTTAGAATCCCCCGCTTCCAAAAAGTTCTTCAGCACAGAAGATGGGGAGACCTAGGTTCCAGAAATTAAAGCCCCAACTATCTCTACTTTAGATCAACTCCTCTTTTATCTGTGTAATATTATATCTGTGCTTCCATAAACTGTTTGGCTTGAAGTTAGCGTTATTTGACAGAAAACAACCTTAAAAACAACTGAATTTGATGATCACCAAGAATCCTCAAGGAGAAATTTAAAACTTCCTTGATGGCGGCATCCTCTTTTTAGAGTATTTTTCAAAGGAGTGTGTATATAGCATAATACTGTTAACCAGAACAAAGCAATTTATTTTATCATCTTAATTTAACATATTTTGCTGTTGTTCACAACCAGTTAATGCCCTCTGCCCCTAAAATTGGTGGTATATCAATTTAAGGAAATATTATGTAACCTTTAAAAAAGTTTGTTGAAAAGCTAATAAAATAGGCTTGGCACAGTGGCTCATGCCTGTAATTCCAGCACTTTAGGAGGCCGAGGTAGGCGGATCATGAGATCAGGAGATCGAGACCATCCTGGCTAACATGGTGAAACCCCATCTCTACTAAAAATACAAAAAATTAGCCAGGTGTAGTGGCGGGCGCCTGTAGTCCCAGCTACTAGGGAGGCTGAGGCAGGAGAATGGCATGAACCCGGGAGGCGGAGCTTGCAGTGAGCCAAGATCGTGCCATTGCACTCCAGCCTGGGCAACAAGAGTCAAACTCTGTCTCAAAAAAAAAATAATAATAAATGAAAAATAAAAAATAAAGAATATTTATTGAGATGAAAAATGTCCATGATATAGTGCTAAATAAAATAAGTAGATTATAAAACTGTTAGCGTATAACTGTTTTGTTTAAAATATATATATATGTTTGTTTATAAACATACTTAAAAACAAATTGGAAATGTATACACTAAAGTATTGTTTACATGCTTTTTTATCTTTAGATGGTAGCATTACATGTCATTTTAAAATTTATTTTCTTTAGCTGGGTGTGGTGGCTCACGCCTGTAATCCCAGCACTTTGGGAGGCTAAGGCAGGAGGATTACTTAAAGTCAGGAGTTCAAGACCAGCCTGGCCAACATAGTGAAACTCTGTCTCTACTAAAAATACAAAAATTAGCCAGGTATGGTGGTGCATGCCTGTAGTCCCAGCTACTTGGGAGGCCGAGGCACGAGAATCACTTGAGTCCGGGAGGCAGAGGTTGCAGTGGGCTGAGATCGCGCCACTGCACTCCAGCTTGGGTAACAGAGTGACATTCTGTCTCAAAAAAAAAAAAAAATTTCTTTTCTTTGTGTTACTCTGTGTTTTTCAGGTTTTCAGTATTGTGTGTATTATTACTTTGGCATGTACTATTTTTTTTTTTTTTTTTTTTTGGGAGGGAGTCTCGCTCTGTCTCCCAGGCTGGAGTGCAGTGGCCGGATCTCAGCTCACTGCAAGCTCCGCCTCCCGGGTTTACGCCATTCTCCTGCCTCA